ATATTCCAACAATGTGTTAAATATACAACGGCTGCAGCCTTGAAGTGAAAACGGGTATAAAAAATACAATGTTTCACGACGCCATTCTGATAATCACACTATCTCATACGTCCACGTCTAATTATAGGATAAAAATATCTATCTGTACACATACACAGTTTGTGGGGAGTAAAATATACATATTCCTGAATAGTAAGCATACATTTTAGTTTCACATTTAGAATTCCTTTCCGGCCAACTTAAAACAACAAATTCGAGTTATGCGAAACTGCTTTATGTTTATTATTGATATTGAAAACAAAGCCCAAGAAATATCTTGGGCATGATCTGGGTAAGGGGATGTGGACAACTAGGGGTAATTCCAGTTTAACAAGTTGACTGGAACCATTTCTTGGCAGGACCCACTTGATGAACCACACACACACATATATACAATACATCGATATCTTAAGAAGAACCGTATTTTAAAAGGTCTGTTTTTATTGTTTCGAAGGGTCCTTGAGTCCACTTTTTAAACGAACAAGTAGCTTCCCTCTGGTCCACGGATTCTGCAGGCTGAGTGGTTTGAATTCATCACTTAAACAGCGCTCCCTTGTGTCAAGTACAACAGTAAGACAAAAGTCTTTTAGTTGTGTTGCACCATAAATAGGGCCTTTTAGTCCTTTTAAAATAACGGCCATATTAAGCTGTTTGACTACAAGATTGACTATTTCTCGAGCGGTGGTATGTGATGATACGTGTAGTTTTACGCTTGTGCCACTAGATAAGCCACTTTCATACGCTGCGTAAATTCGCAGAATGTCTGGTTGTGGATTGGAGCCGGAAGAGGAGTAAGGTGAAGACAACCTACTGAACAAATCACTATCTGACGTTTCATCTTCACTGGCAGAATTGACGTCCTGACAAGGTTGAGTTCCTTCTCCGATGCTGTGGGCGCCGTCTTTAGAATATATACTAGTTTTCTCTGCTCCTTCATCGTCAGCACCATCCGCCTCATGAGATGATAACGACATAATACTGTCAGTTATACTACTACGCATGCTCCCATTACTGGCAAACGCAGTGCAGCGCTGAAGATCGATCCCCCATTCTTGCTCCTGTTCGTTCTCATCTTCTTCACTTTGCAATGAGCCGAGATAGGAAGTTATCGTTAGTTTAGGTTCCTCGGGCTCTAATTCCACGGTGCTCGTACTTAAATTAATACTGCTGTTCTTTGGAGAACCCGAGGTTGTAGAATTGTTCAGATTTAACCCTGACCTTTGGTTATTTTTTAGCAGGTGAGAGGTGGACACACTTCGACGAATCTCTTTATATCGACATTCTGAGCTCTGTAGGGCTAAATAACTTGATGACGTCGTTACTTTTAAAAAATTATCACTTATGGTATCTTCTGAATACAGAGTACAGTTCTCTTTTTTATATCTGAAGAGTTCTTGTATGGGAGACTGATGAGGGGAAGGCTGTGGAGAAGGAGATCCCGAATCTTGGATCAAGATGTGATCCAGCGGAACGCCACCGTTCGGCTGCTTATCTCTAGCGAATGTTAGCACGTCCATGACCCACCGCATAGATCGCCAAGTGTTGTCTACTTGGGTCTGAAATTCCTGCAGCTGACTCAGTCGGTCTTTCGCTGAAGTTACTTCAGCTGCCGAGAATGCCTATAACACAAAGAAGAATAAATAGGTAAGTTAATCTTCCTGTCACAAGAAGACATTAGCTAAACAGTAACACTTTCAATGTTTGCTTTTTTCCTGCTGGAACACTTTAAATGACCTTACTTGAAATCCCATTGATTACATAAAAACCAAATCATGATACTTTCAAGAAATCTGTTTTGCTCACCCTAAAAGATTGAATTGTAGTCTTAAAACTTTTTAAGTTTGTCTTTAAGACATGAAAATTAAGACGGGGCAGGATTAAATTGTTTATTTGTAATTAAGCACAAAGCTACACAATGGGCTATCTGTGCTCTGCACACCACGGGTATCGAAACCCGAATTCTAGCGTTGTAAGTCCGCAGACATGCCGCTGTGCCACTGGGGGGCGGCAGGATTAAAACCCAAGACTCTACTAATCGGTAAATAATTTGGCCATTTTTCACTTCTCTCTTCATTGGTCATTGCCTTAGGTTCCCGCTAAACTTTGTCTTTAATAACCTGGAAACATGCATATTCGGCACATCACGTGGTTACCTGAAACCTCCAATCACCGAACAGAACTCAGATAAAGATCCAACCTCAAATTTAATTTCTTAAAATAAATTTCTGGAGATTAATAACAGTTCGCTAAGATTTTAATAACCTATCAGGATCAGCGAAATGATAAAGTACGAGCATCTTAGAAAATAACAATAATAATAAAATAAAAATTAATATTTGATTTTTTTTCAGGTTCAAGTAAGACGATCCACAATACTGTACCTCTCGTTGGGCGTGCTGTGCCAGCATGGTGTCCATCTCCAATACTGAGGAAAGGCGAGAATACCGGGAGATGAAAATGGAATTGTACGTCATCATGTGTACTGTTCAAATATATAATATTGATAAACATGAACCAACGAAGAACAAAACTAGGAAACCAATAAACACTTCACACACATTCTGGAAAGTTGCAGAATATTCTTGTTGTATTTTTAGGTGAGACATGTAAAGAAGGAATCATGAAATCATTAACCGAGAATTAAAACAAAACAGTAGGTCATTTAACTTAGAGCTTTGTGAAAATGTTTTGGATAAAATCAAGAACAAAGAAGCCATGATGTGACTGTAAATATAGAACGAAGACGCCATGATGTGACTGTGATTGTAAGTCCTATGACGATTGTGATGTTGCCTTTAATTGGTAAGTGTTAAAGTTTGACTGTGATGTTGCCTTTAATTGGTAAGTGTTAAAGTTTGAATGTGGATATGCCTTTAATGGTAAGTGTTAAAGTTTGATTGTGATGTTGCCTTTAATTGGTAAGTGGTAAAGTTTGAATGTGGATATGCCTTTAATGGATAAGTGTTAAAATTTGACTGCTATGTTGCCTTAAATGAATGTGTTAAAGTCATAGGACTTACAATCACAGTCACATCATTTCTAAAACTTTACCACTTACCATTAAAGGCATATCCACATTCAAACTTTAACGCTTACCAATTAAAGGCAACATCACAGCCAAACTTTAACACTTACCAATTAAAGGCAACATCACAGCCAAACTTTAACGCTTACCAATTAAAGGCAACATCACAGCCAAACTTTAACGCTTACCAATTAAAGGCAACATCACAGCCAAACTTTAAGACTTACCAATTAAAGGCAACATCACAGCCAAACTTTAACACTTACCAATTAAAGGCAACATCACAGCCAAACTTTAACACTTACCAATTAAAGGCAACATCACAGCCAAACTTTGTAATGTACCCATTTCAGGAGTCCACACCCAAACTTTAACACT